CGCCGGGGGACGGGGGGCGGGGGGGGGGGCCCCGCCAATCGCGGCGGGCCGGCGGCAGGGAAACACTATTATGCTAATGGTGTTTTGCTCGCACTCGCGGCGAGCGGGGTTTAAAAGGCAGCGGCCGGGGGCAGGGGCTCAAAGGCGGGAGGCAGGGCTGGTGCGAACGTGAGCGGACAGGTCGGGACGGGAGGCGAGGAGAGGAGCGGCGGGGGGGGCATCTGCGCCTTCCCAGCCCACCGCGTCCTGCCCGGCGGCGATGTCCAACGTGCACCTCTCCGGCGCCGCCGCCCTGGAGCGCCTCTCCGCCCGGAGAGCCCTGGCCGGGAACGGCCGCAGCCCCGTCTGCAGGAGCCTCTTCGGACCGGTGGACCACGAGGAACTGGGCCGGGAGCTGCGGGAGCGCCTGCGGGAGATGGGGGAGGACGACCAGCGCCGCTGGGACTACAACTTCCAGACCGACACGCCGCTGCCGGGGCCCGGCCGCCTGCGCTGGGAGGAGGTGGAGGCCGGCGCCGTGCCCGCTTTCTACCGGGAGACTCTGCAGGTGGGACGGTGCCGCGTCCCCCTCCTCCAGGCGCCCCCTTCCCCGCCGCCACCCCCCGCCGCCGGGAAGGGGCCCGGGGGGCGCCTGAGCCGGGAGAACCGCGCCGCGCCCCGCCGCCGCGGCATGCGGCCCCGCCGGAGGGGCCCGACGGCCCGCATCACAGGTGCGTGGGGGTCCTGGGGGGGCGAGGGGGCGGTGGGCGTCCCGCCGCAGTGGCTGATGGACGCCTCCTTCCTCTGCGTCCCCCATCCAGATTTCTTCGCGAGGAGAAAAAGGCCGGCGGAGCCCAAGGCGGCGGCGGAGCGCCCAGCCGGCTGCCCGCCGCCCCCCGCCGCCGTGCCGGCTGAGCAGACCCCCCGCAAGCGGCTTCGGTGAGCCAGGTGAGGCACGACCTGGGGGCGGGCGAGGGTGTCCGGTCGCTTTCTGCGGCACATTTTTTTTTTTTTTTAAATTTACCCTATCACCACTGATTTTTTTTTTTTTCTGACTTTTTTTTTTTCACCCTCCTCCCTCTTTCTGTTCTTCCCCAGATTTTTGCACTACTGCACCCACGGGAGAGGCGCGCCGCCCCCGGAGGCGCGGCGCCCCGGAGGCACGGGGGGCCGGGGCGGGCGGCGTTGCGAGGTGGGACCCCCCCGTGCCCGCCCGGACCGGGAGCGGGAGCTGGAGCCGGAGCGAAGCCGGAGCGCCTGCCCACCGGCCGCGCACGGAGCAGTGTTAAAAGTACAGCTGTGCAATGTATGACGTTTTGTATAGAAATGTATTATGCCTAATGTTGAGTACACTGGCCAGAAGTGTAAAGCTTTAAAAAGTCATTTATAAGAAATGTTTAATCTCTGCTGAGCTCTCAGTGCAAAAAAAGGAAAAAGGAAAAAAACAAGTGTATATTTGTACAAAACTTTTTTTAAGAGTTATACTAACTTATATTTTCTATTTATGTCAGAAACGTGGATAACTTGACATCCAATAGTCTTTTTTTTTTTTTCTTTTGGTTAAGCCAAAGGGCACTATATTTGCTTTTGTTATTTACAAAATGTAAATTTATTTTTATAGTGGATTTTTTTTTTTTGGCATTCATAAGATGTAGCTACGAATCGAAATATTTTTTAGACTTTACTTGAAGACAAATCTGTTTCAGTGGGTCCTGAGCCGGTCTGTACCACTGCCATTGCAAATAATGCCACAACTTCAATAATAAATAAAATAAAAGGAAACGCCTGCAAGGCTGCTTAGTGTGTGCTCGGGGGGAAGTCCGGAGGGAAGGGGGGGAGGAAAGGGACAGCCCCCGAGGCTTGGGCGGTGGAGCCAAGCCCAGTTCTTCGCGGGGGGAGTCCTCCCTCGCCCCGGGGCCCCAGGCGCCCCTGGAGCACGACCCCGCCGCGGGGAGAGCGCTTCCACCTACGCCCCCCGGCGAAAAGCTGGCGTGCAGTTCGGAGGGGAAAGGAGGGCTTTTTCCCCTTAAAAACAAGTGTTCCTGAGTACTGCTGGAGTTACCCAAGCATGAGGGGAGGACGCGCCCTTCATGACACCCTGAATTCGGCCCTTCGCCACATTTTATGGTTACTTTTAGCCATTTCCCCTTTCGTCCCAAAGCTGTATCTGCCCGTTCTTGAGGACCCCGGCAGCGCTGCGGCAGCCACTTCACACCGCATCGGGGCTGGGCCGATACCTCCCTCGCTTGGGGATAGTCGGGGGGGGGGGGGGGGGGGGGAAGAGGGAGGCTGGTGCCTGCAGGCTGTGACCCCCAGCGGCTCAGCACTAGGGGGACGCCCCTGCCTTAGTTGTGCAAACCTGCCCCGCCCCGGCCCCAGCCGCGAGCCCTCAACCCCCAGCCCGTAGCTCGGAGCCGTGGCTACTGCAGGGAAACACTTCCTGGTACCTCTTGCCCAGCAATGATTTACAGGGCAAACACACCACAGTTCTGGGAAAGGCAGCAGTTCCAGCTCGCCCTACAAAAGGTAAAAAGCAAAACAACAAATCCACGAAATAAACGCTCCCAACAGGCAAAACAGCCTGCATTTTGACATTAACGCTTTGATGACAGTGTTGTCACAGCCGTGCATCCACAGCAGTTTGCAGTGTCACCTTGTCCCTGTGGCCTGGGAGGGGGTTAAAGCCACAGGATATACACACAGCCCCGTGGAGTCAGGGCAAACGCACTGTGCTGGGTCCCAAACCCTGTGCCGCTCAGGGAGGAGGGACACATCAGGGCTGGTCTTGGCTACAGGTGATGCAAGGTTGGGGTGCTGGAGAGTACAGATGGGTAGCAGGATGCGAGAAGAGGACTGGTCCTCTGATCCTAGAGGCGTGGGGACTGACTGGTCAGATTTATCCCTTTCAGACCCCACTCCCCATTCTTGCACCTCTGTGAAGTGCTGCACCCCCACGCTGTACCCAGCAGGTGGGGACGACCAAGAGAGCACCACTCCCTGGCTTTATGAGCTCTGTTTGATACTCTTTCACGGAGGGGGGAGGGAGCTGAAAGAATGAGGGTCAGGGTGAATAAGGCTCAGGGTTTGTCCACATCATCTTCCCCCGGTCCCCGCAGCGCTCCTCTCTGCCCCCCCCCCCCCCGTCACGGCCGCCAAACATTCCTGGCTGTAAAAGTAACATTGATTACCTCCAGCTCCATGATCGCTTAATCAGAACGGGATTATTTTACACGCCCGCATCAGTGGCCGCTGACTCAATACGATTTTCCCCCCTTTGAAAAGAAAAATAGCTTTTCCCTTTCCTTATGAAAGCCAACAATACCCGGAGTGAGGCAGCTGGATCCTCCAGGATTTATGGGCTTTTCTCTCGCTTTCATGAAAGCAGGTGCCTTTGGGACCTCCATTGTCCCAGCCCCCAACTAATAATAGGACTTTTTGCAATGAAAGATCCCTGCTCTGAGCTTCCAAATACCTCGGCCAGAGGAGCCACCGCCTGCCCCGAGGTGTGCCCAGCCTGACTCAGGAGGAAAGCTCTCACCGCGGGGAGAGTTTAGGCACAGGGCTCTTTATTAAAGCAAATAGTTCCAGCTCATGGGCATAGCCTGAGAGGAGCCAGAGGGTTTCCAACCCGCAACAGGGGAGGGCCACATCCTGCAGTTCCCTGGGCTGTGCTTTCCTTGAGGGCCCGGGGGTGCGGGAAGGTGTGCGGCTGCCCCTGCGCCCTGCCCCACCCAGCCCGGCCGGCCCTCCTCGCCCCGGCACAAAGCACACTACCCCTATTCTTTCGGCCTTTGTAGCCATATGGCAAATCCATGTAGACACAGCCAACATCCATTTATTCAGGCACATAATGTCCCGCAACAGGGAACAATTGGAACTTTGTTTGCTTCTATTATTGATGCGAATGGGCGACAGAGAGAGAGAGAGAGAAAAAAAAAATCATTTAACTATAAGAGATATCCAGCTAATTATGAACCATATGTGCCTATAGTTTCAAAGCAATCCAATGAAGTTCATTTTAAATCTAGACTACTTTATTAGTACAGAAGACAGATGTCTCAACAGTACATGCATCAGAGGAAACCATGTAAAGAAGTTCTTGAAATATTTAACTAGGACTCATTCATTGTCAGAGGGGCTTTAAAGTGCCCTTTATCATGAGAATGCATAGGCAGAAGAGGAGGGAGGCTGCCGGTTGTTACTGCCAACCCACTTACCCCTTAACACTAAATCCCAAATTCCACTTTGGATTTGACGACAGGAATATTTTTGGAAAAGATTCAAAATATCAGGGGTCTTGAAGGACCGAGCTTGCTGCTCATTACAGCTACAAAAAGTCAGGTCATTATTTGAGCTGCCTTAATCCCAGACTGAAACCAGCTACACAATTAGAGGAATAATCTACTCCAAATCACAACCGTTCCCTCTCCCAAGGAGCAGAGCCGTGCATTTTTTGCAGGATGGCTACTGCAGTTCCTCCCCTGTCCCAAGAGAGACTGAAATTGGAGTGTTAACATTGCCAGACCTCCAGAAATTTTTTCATACAAGCATCTCTCTATGTGAATCTGTGGTGGGCACCTAAAGGAAAAGGGCTCTGAAGGAAGACTGGAAGGGAAGCTTGATGGGAGGAAGTCTTTCAGATTTCTTTTTTTTTTTTTTTTTTTTAGGGAATGCAATTATCAGCAAACACTCTTGGCAAAAAGGTTAGTGCTATCTTTATGAGCACAGCAACATCTACCAGTAATTAAGCCACTTCAGTTAGATGAATGCAACATATGGTTGACACTGGGAATCATTCTCCTTCCTAGCCACAACTTTTCTTTCTGGGCCAAAACTTGTTCTATTATCACTTAAAATAAACAAAAAGCTGCTTTCCACTTCTTCAGCAAATATTTGTTGCTAATGAGCAGGAGGTGTAGGTAACAGGATGGGGAAAAAACCTGTAGTTTTCAAGGAATACTTCCCTAAGTTTGGATATGGAAATAAAATAAATTCTCTAAATGCCCAATTCACTTGCAATGAGCTGAGATTGCTTAGTAGGATGGCTACACAGGGAGATTCCTGTGAAGGATCCACACAGAGAGATGTAAATTGAATTGACCATTTTTAAGCACTGAAATAGTTATGAAGAGTACTTGCATATATACAAACACACACTATGTATACAAGAAATGACTAATCAGGGAGTATAAAATAATTAATCAGGGAACTGGATTTTTTTTAAGCCACATTGTCACCTACCACTACAGGATAAACTCACAATGGTTTTCCAGTGTCTTTCCCTCCACTAGCCTGTACTCTCTCAGAACTGTTCTTCTTGACAAGGATTTTTGGAACAGAGCAAGCCAAAAAGCAAACCAAAAGTCTTTACCTAAGGTGAAAGGATGGGATTATATCTGACTCACAGAGGATGGAGAAGAATCAAGTACCTCTCTCCCATTACACAGTATCTTCTACTAAAGACCACATGATCTCTTTTGGTGTCAGTGATGAAATTCCCAATGGAAAGTGTTTCATTTTTTGGTTTATTCAGTTGCTTTTTAAACCAAGGGGGATTTTTAGACATATATGTCCAATAAACCTTTACTGGGACAGATTTTTTTGGGAAAAAGGAAAATGAAAGATGCTAAAATGGTTAGATGATATACAGAATGTAAAAGCTCTGAAGCAGGCCTCGCTGTTAGATAAAAAATAACTCAAACGCTTTTAAACACAGAACAAACTAAACTTTGGAGCCACTTTCTGCAATCTGCATGGTCAAGCCTCTGCTTCAGGAAAACTGTTGGCCAGTGGTGGTTGCACAGCTTCATGTCTGTATCTGTGATGCCACATGGGCCACAGTCTATAGGACGAGGAGGCAGGGAGAGGGAACAGGAGAATTGGGAGGCAGCACTAGAAAACACCTACGATGGGGATAACAGGGTGCAGATGGAGCAGAAGCACAGTTGGGCTACACTGGAAGAGGCTGGGAAGGGGACACCAAACTCTGCTGGTGTGATGAAAGGGAGGGAGAGAAGGGAGCAGATTGCAACATTTATATTCCGCATTATATATTAATTTCTGTTTATATTCTGTGCATTCCTTCAGAGGCTGCCTGGTCCCAACACACTTCTGCTGTCAGCAAACAGCCATGAAACTCATCCACTAACATCCCATCCCTTCCCTGAACTCATCTACAGATGCATGCTAGGAATAATCTTCTCTTTTTGTTCCCGTTTCCCAGGTCAGTGTGGGATCTAAAAAATTCCCCAGACCTGCTGAGGAGTCACTGGGCTTCACATCAGCACAAGATTACTCTCTCTCTGCTACCAGATTTGCTTTAGCCTTCATGTATTACATGAAGACTGAGGACTAGGAAGGAAACACTCAAGTTTTGGAGGTGCCCAAGCTGCCTGTATGATTTCAGTCCAGATCTTTCGCTCCCACTTTATTTTCACAGCCACGCACACCATTTTTCCCTCCAGGACACACACTACTCAATTCACCCAGTGCTTTCCCTTGCAGAATGAATCTGGGCTGTGCAACAAAGGGGAAACTGCTGGATAAACTCCTGCCAGAGAAGCTGAGAAAGTAAAGCAAGGGCCTGCAGGATGCTTTCATGCTTAATCCAATGCCAACAGTTGAATGCAGGCTTTTATGCTTCAGAGAACAGTTGGCTCCTCCGGACCTGCAACAGAGGCTTTGTGCAGTTCAGGGCAAGGTGCTTCAAGTTTTCATGAGCAGACACTAATTTTGCCCACCTTTGTCGGGCAACTGATACAAGATGCTCTGGTCTGACTTGTGAAG